TTTTTTTTTTTTTTTTTTTTTTTTTTTTTTTTTTTTTTTTTGGTCTTTTTCGATCTCATCTCTTTGTACTGAGGAATATCCATAATACCTTCCTAACATTTCTGAACTCCTAATATCATGGCAGGCTTATTATTGATAATTAACTTAAAATGATTGATTTATTAAAGACACTGTGACTTTTTAATTAGCTACTATTATTCTGAAAAGGAAATGTTCAGGTTCAAATAAAATAAACCACAATGCGTAGAGTTTCTATTAATAGAACCTAACCCATCAGAAATCTCTGCAATCCAGATTTTGAATTCAACATTCTACTTTTCAGTGAAAATGAAAATAAAGGTAAAATATATTCATTTGGAAGATAAGAAAACACTCAGAAATCATTCAACTTAAGCTACCCTGTTCGGGCATAGACTGTACCACATGTACACGGAATGATCAATGATCACTTTCAATCACACTCTTTAAAAGCACTTGCACATAGCTACACTTTCAGCCTTACCACAGTTGTTGGAAATAGTTTTGGCAATTCCCATCAGTGTTTTACAGATGAAGGAATGGAACCCCAGGAGGCTCTGTAATGTCACCCTTTAGCACACTTACTACTGATTCAGTCTTTTAAAACTTCCATGTTTATCATACTACATTTGCCAAGACAAGATACACACATATTATTATGCTATATGCACCTGAATTCTGGGCAAGAATAGGGTTACTTCTAAGTTGGAATTCAGGAAACAAACAAACAAAACACATTCATGGAATGCCTGTAGAGCAGACTTCTAAGGCTACCAGCTCCTAAAGGAGACATGCCACCCCTTCCTAGTCTGATTACTGGCCACCTTTGGCTGCTGGAGATACAGAAGACCTACTACTCTTTTCTCCTTTCTTGGCAGAAGCCTCAGAGAGAGTCTTAAATTCTTAATTCTTCCCAATTTCTAGTTCTTTGTTGCTGTGAGGATTTTTTTTCTAGCACTTTCTAAGCAGCATCGTCCAAAAGAATGTTCTGCAATGATGGAAAAATGTTTGCCCTCTCCAATAAGACGGCCGTTTGAGACATATGGTTACTGAGCACTTGAAATATGAGATACTGACTTTTGAATATTTTAATTGCAATTTAACTTTAAATAGCTCTATGTAGCTAGTGACTACCATACTGGACAGAGAGATTCTAAACAGCGTAGGAATTAGGGTCACAGGGCCCAGAGCAATCCATCAACAGCATCTTTGCAGACTTGGAAGGTTATGTATTTAATATGAATTATGCCTTAACTGGGCCTGGGGGGGAGGGTTAAGCAAAATGTTGGCATTAACAATAAGAAGGCATATGGAGATCTCTATGGAAGGACTAACAAATGGGAGAGCCATTTGCATTTCAGTCCCATTTGGATTGAATTTGAATTTCTAAGCTGCATGTATTTGAGCAGGACAGAACTATCAATTCAATACAAAAATGTCTGTTTTGCCAATGAAATTACTAGAGCTGTAGAAACCCAGTGAATGAAGATGGAATTCTACTACAGCCTGGAAAGAGAAACAAGAAGTGACTGCTAGAGTGATCTATAATCTCTAGGACAAGCTCTGATGTTTATAGATGTTTAGTAAATAAATATTCTCTTAATTTGGCCTCCACAAATTGGCTAACTCCTTTCCTCATCTTACCCATGATACTTTGGAGAATTGGGGATACTCCTTGAAATAATGGGTGACCAGACTTCATATACTGCCTAGCTTAGGAAAGAGTTTTATAAATATTGGCACTTTCAATGATCCTTGTTTCTGCCTAGATTATTTTAGAGCCCTCCTCTGAGTCCTTTTGAGATTGGGGGAAACTGATTAGGATAATCAATTTGGGGGAAACTATGTTGTTGGGACTAGGGCAGAGAAAATATGGACAACATAAAGGCCTATTGAGGATAGCTATCCTATCATCTGTGTTTGTGAATGGGGAACATGTTGCTGAAGAAGGTCTGTTATAGTTCTCATGTATACTAAGGCAGATAATTCTGGGACAGTAGAACCAGAAGAGAAAAAGCAGAGGAAATGGTAACTAAGAAGACTGCTTGTATTTTCGACACTTGCTTATTACTGAGTTCACTGATGCTTTCTATTCTTGTTAAAGGTTGGTGGAAGAACCATTGTGGATGTGTATTTCAGGAACTACATATTAACAGGAAGGAAACTGGCTCTGGAACAAGTTTACAGGGTTTTAATACTGGCTTTTCAATCATGTGACTGAAAGCAGTGACTATCTCAATGGGTTCCCACATTCTCCTTTCTGAAAACTGATGGTAACAAATGGTAACTTCAAAGTTATTCAGACCCTAAATGCAATAGGACATGTGTGGCACATGTGGACTCTGGGCCCCCAGACTCAGTTGTCCACTCTTTTTGCTCTTGCTGGTTTAGTCTTCCAACTTTTTTGTGTAAACTTGAAGCTCAAGTTATGTGAGCAGTTGTATTCCAAGCAGCATGCATAAAAGCAGTTGGGAGGGTGGGAATGAGTGACAGCAGGTGGATGAACAGATTAAGGAAGGAAGAGAGAGCAATGTGTGAAAGAGAGAGGTTGGCCCCCCTCCTCTGTCACTTGCTGTGTTCCCATTCCCCGATAACAGCTATTGAAGGCCAGATACCGAAACAAGAACATGAAAGTGGCTTGGACATTGGAGGTAAACAGAACCAAATGTGAAAACAACCTCTGGGTTCAAGATTCCCAACAGGTTTTCTCATTTGTGTGAGAGATGCAGTTAATAGCTAATGTGAAATTTAAATGAAATGATGTTACCTATGATTCTATAGATGTTTAGTAAATAAATATTCTCTTAATTTGGCCTCCACAAATTGGCTAACTCCTTTCCTCATCTTACCCATAAGATACTAAAGAAACAAAACCAAGGCATATTTAGAGGACATGTTTAGAGGATGTAAACAATGTGTGGTGGCCAGAGAAAAATGCACAGCACAGAAAAGAAGCAGGACCAGATGCAAGAATGAATTCCACTCTCCTTTGTAATGAATCCACTTCCTTTTCTGTAGCCTTACAATTCCCTGATTCCCAAAAGTCTCAGAAATGCTTAACAGAACAGCATCCCTAACTGCTTTTCAACAGAAAGACAGTGCACGGGCAGAACGAGGTGCCACCCGAAGTCACTGGAGCTGGATCGTGGAGTGACAGGGTGCCTTGCTCTTCCACCCAGAAGTGCCAGGAACTTCCCAAGCAGGGTCTGGGGAAGCACAGAACTGGGAAGGCAAAGGACCATCACTTATTTTCTTGGTAAACACCGTATGCCCTTTAGCTGAATGTAATACAATTCCTGCTCACAGGAACTGCTGACCAGCCCGAGCCCCCCCAGCTCCCCAGATATTTAGCTTTCAGCCACCGACAACTTTCAGCACCGAGGACAGCTCCCGGTCCCTTGCCACCTCCTTGGCCTGTGCTCCCTGGGGTCTCTGAGATCCAAGGCCTAGAGGGAGGCAAGTTAGCTCACAGTCCTTGTCACAGTCCAGTCATGACTGACCCGCCTCTCGGCGGAAGATCTCAATGAAACGAGCTTCACACAGGTAGCGGATAGTGCTAGGAACAGGCGACAGCCCTGCTGCCTTCCCTCATCTTTGCCTTTCCTTCGCTTCTGTTTGGCAGCTTCTGCCTTATAGTGCGATCAAAATATAAATTGCACATTTGGCGGGGGACGAGGGGTGACTCAGGAGAGAGAAGAGGTCCGGGGCCACGCCACCCTATCCTGACCCTCCGGATTCACGGGAAACTGAATGTGTTTGGGGATGGAAGAGACAAGGCTGAAAGGGAGAAGCCCTGGGAAGAGAGTCATTTCCCAGGGCTGCTTGCTCCAGGCAGGAGCTTCCCTGGATACCTCCCCGTCACATCCCTCTCATCGCCCCAGCGCATCCTGGTTGGCAGGGGATTGATGCCCCCCACGCAGCACCATCCTAGTCGGGGCGCCCGGCTCCTCTAGAGTCCCTTTGAAGAGTTTTGCTCAGGTAAAAGCACAAATGTTACCCCTGCCGTCCTCTGGGGCTGTGGCTGGAAAAAAAGCATCTCTTCCTTTTCCAAGAGCTCAGTCCCAGGCCGAGAGCCCAGCTGCCCCAGTCAGGTGAGTGTCCAAGCTGGGAGGGAAGGATGGGCCCCAAGTCTGCGGAGCCTGGGCGGCCCAGACTGCGCCCCGCATCTCTGCCTCCTGCCCCGCCTGCCAGCACTCACGCGTCCCCGCATCCAAGACCCCACTCCCGGCCAGAGCCCGCACGACCCTGACCCCAGCTTTTTTCCTTCTTTCTGGGAGCCCCTTCCAGGAGGGCGCCCTCAGCCTCCGCGCCATATTCCTCCTCCCTCCCTCTGATGCCTCGGGCTCCCTGGTTCATCTTAGTCGTGGGGGGTCCAGCTGGGGTACCCGGGCCGTGCAGGGGGCTCTGGCTGTGGCGAAGGGGGACATTCACTCACCAGAGAGGCTGGAGGTGACGGCCTGTCTGCTGCTGGCCCGTGGTCTGCACTTGCAGCGCGGGGCGTCTCTCGGCTGCAATGGGGGCGGTGGTGGCGGCAAAGGAAGGCAGGAGGCAGCGGCTGCTGCTGAACAGCTCCTCAATTATTCAGATCGAACCCACTCCGCACCCCTCCTGAGCCTGCCAGTCCGCTCTCTGGCTTGCCAGTCTCCGCCTCCTTGGAGTCACGTGCCTAGCCCAGCCCCTTGCATTACTGAGTCCCAGCATCGCACCCCCTTCTCCCCTCGCTCCACCAGGTCTGCGTCTCCTTGCTGGCCTCCTTGGTCCAGGTACGACCTCCAGTATCTTGCTCTGTGTGGAGCATAGGGGAAGAGACAGTTGTCTTCCTCGACAAAGCAGGGTGGGTTGGGACTCTGCAGTGTGGCTGTATTGGTTGGGATGACGTCTGCCATCCACTACACCTCTGCTGGGCTCAGCTAGGCCTTCTTCCTGCACCCTGGAAGTTACCCCTCCCTTTGCACAGCCCTTTCTAGGCTTAACCTGCTTTCATCCACCTCATCACTGCTGGAAGGAAGGGTTGGGGAGTTTGATTTTCCCTTCAGTTTTCAAAGAAGACAAACCCAGAGCTCAAATAGATGGAGCTTAGTTCCAAGCCCATAGCATCTCATATCTGCTAACACTAGATTTGAGATTTTGAAGACCCACAAGGAATTTCAGTCTATGACTTTGGAGCATTTAATGGCTAGTCTTTCTTCTCTTATCTATGAAGTGACCACCTCCTAGACTGTTGGCAGAATTTCCATCACGTTCTTGAAGTTGCCTGACTGTGTGCTGGACATGTATGTGGAGATCAGTAAAGGAGAGTCCTGTTGCCGCCATTAAAATCCATTTCAGATATCTGGGTGAGGTGGCTTTCGTCTTTAATCCCAGAACCTGGGAGGGAGAGGCAGGTGAATCTCTATGAGTTCAAGTCTAGCCTGGTCTACATAGTGGTTCCAGGCCAGCTGGGGCTATAGGGAGACCCTGTTTTAAAAAGAAGCAAGCAAACACTCCCCCAAATACATTTCAGAAAACAAGAAGTGATTCATGTATGAGTAGAATGGAGGCAACCTTTTTTTCCAATGTGGAAAGAGCTTCCATGAGGTCAGGCTAGACAGATAGCCAGGTTAAGTGGGCAGAAGAGAGGCACGAGGTTTATATTTTACCTTGGTTCCTCAAGGTGAGTGTCCTGGACACATGTTGTATCTCAAAAGTATAGGGACTAGCAGGTGTGTGGTGGTGTACACCTTTAATCTAAGTTCTTGGGAGGCAGAGGTAGAAGGATCCGTTGTGAGTTCAAGGCCAGCCTGGTCTACATATTGAGTTCTAGGCCAGCAGGGCTACATAGTGAGACTGTCTCAAAAAACAAAACATAAAAACATAAAAACAAAGCAAATAAACCAACAATAACAAAAAAAAAGAAAGAAAAAGGGAAAAAAAATAAAAACTAGAGTGTACCAATCTTGACTCATTTGACCTCAGCTGTGAATGAACCATTTAAAATGCATTGAGTAGATTGATTTGGATGACAGATACCTTCAGAAATTCTTTTACCTTTGCCCAAGTCCCCAAAATATATGGCAGCTAAAATATTATCGTCATGCTATTAGAAATACAATTTATTGAGCCTGTTGTGTTCAGAGAGAATACTGGCTGACTGGTACTCTCTCTGTCAAGGGAAGGTTCACATCTAATTCTAGGTTGTGGATCAGCCCTGGACCTCAGGGTTTGAGTTCACCTCTGTCACATCCAGTCATGATCAGAACAGTCTTGGTAAGTTTTCTTACCTCAAGCTTACCACAGTCTTGAGCCTACACCTTTACCTTCTTGAGACATCACCATAATTTAAGCTTCTGAGTGATCCTTCAGAACATATTAGACCTCTTAGAATCCAAAAGTTATGAAATGTAGAGAAAGAGTAAAGTTGAAGAGGTAGAAGTCTGGAATGTAGGCCCTGCCAGTGACTTACCATATAACCCTTGGCCAATCACTTACTGTCTCAGAGTTTTATATTTAAAGTGGCGGAAAGAATGCTTTCTCTATAAGATAGTTGTAATGTTCAGATGGGTTAGTGCCTGAGAAGACACTGGTGGAAGGTAGAAAGTGAACAAATACAGACTGCTAGTACTGTGAGCTGAGGAAAATGCAGGAACTCTTTTTGTTCGGATGTGTTATTTGGGTGAGGAGAGGGGAAGCTGAGGTTTGCTGGGAACAGGCAGATACTGGAAAGTTAGGGTATCGCTGTACCTTTACAATTACACCCAAAACTCAAGGGCTGTGAAGGGTTCCCTTTCAACTGTACTCTCCTCTGTGGTGGGTTTTTTCAGCTCCACGACTTCCATCCTTAGAACACCAGACCAAATCCTAGTGGTTATGAATATTTACTATTTGACACACTTTTGTGCCTATATTTTAGCACAGTGGGCTTTAGACTTTTCTGCCTTTGCTTGGTAAAATTTATTTGGGTTGGTAATTCAAAAAGGTTGATTCTAAAGACAAAAACATTCTGAACTCAGGAACAGTTTCTGGTTACTCAGTAGTAGATTGAATGGTGGCCCGATTTTCTAAACCCAGTTCAATCCTTATCCAAACCAGGGACACCCCACTCTTTATCAAATTCCAACCCCATATCCTGGGATACTTCCCTTTAACAGTAATAGAAATTGTCTATCTAGGCTACCGCATATTTAGGAAAACCATAGGGCTGGAAGGTGCCATGGAAGTTCTTGTCCACACCGGTTATTTATTTATTTTTAGTTTTTTTTTTATGTGCACGAGTGTTGTGCCTGCATGTGTGTAAGTGCGCCCACATCATGCTGTGCCTGACTGAGGACAGAAGAGGACACTGGATTCCCTGGAATTGAAGTTATAGACAGTTGTTAGCTGCTATACGGATGCTGGGTTCAAACTCGGGTCTTCTGCAAGAATAGCCAGTGCTCTTAACCAATGAGCCATCTCTCCAGCACCACCCACACCATTTAAAAAATTGCTCGTCTAGGTAAAATGCTGCCTCTGACTCCTATCCATCTCTGTAGTGCTATCAGGAAACACAAGAAATAGAAAAATAAGCATGAAATCATTTAATTTGGCCTCAAAAACTGTGCCTTTAACAACAGTTACTTGGATAAGTATGCATTTTGGAAAGTTATGGACAGTTTCACAGCAGTTACAGTAGGTCTCAGAATACATTCAAATAAGTTTTCAATACCCAAGTCAACTTTACCCAGCAAAGGGCAGATGAGGGAACTTACTGGGCAGATCTTGCATAGATTGCAATACAAAGTTACACCTTAGTAAGATTTCTTGATAAGATTTCCCCAGAGTCCTCCTCCCTTATTTACAACCTCTTATCTCTTGTCTGGTGATAACTGATTTTATCAGAAGCCATTGACAACACTTTGACAGGAAATATTGTCAAGAGTTTGGAGACATGCACAGCAAGAGGGTTGGCAGACATCACAATACCAAAGTCTAGCAAGGATACTTCAGAGTGCCTGCTAATTCGATCTGGGCAGGACAGGTCCTAGCTTTCTTGTTCCAGTGAATAGGCTGTAGAGTGTTGATTCATTTATCAAGTACATATTCAAGACTCTCAGGATGCTTCCATGAACACCGCAGAAATGATTTCTGTTCTTGAGCTTACAGTCTAGGGGAGAGAGACAGACCACAAGCAAGTAAAGAAAGCTGTGGAGACTAAGTACAATGACGAGAATAAAGCGGAAATATCAGGAGAACAACAGTACCACTTCACCTAAGTGATTGTAGGGCTCAGACAAAAAACTATCTCTTTTCAAGGAAGGGGCAGGGCATCTTACCCAGGACTTTTACAAATACCATATGTCAGCAAGGTGATCACTAAAATCCCTCATGACTGACCTACTCAAATGGATGATAGTTAAGCCATGAAGGGATTGGCCAGATACTTTAAAACAGTTATATGATTTCGTCTCCTGGTTCATAAGGATGAGCACCTGATGTTTCCTTCTAGAACAATCCCAAGATCGTTGATGTTCCTGACTCTTGCCTCTGAGTGGATTCAAAGGCTGAGAAAGAAAAGGCACTGTAACAGCCTGACCAGACAGAGGCCGATGTGGAGCCCTATCTCTGGAAGCAGTGCTTCTAGGTTGAGGAGGACAGAAAAGAAGACCCCAACAGAGCTGAGAATATCATGAGTGGTTCAGTGGGGGGTATATGTAAATAAAGCTTAAGAGATGTAAAAAGCCAGAGGGCAATGTATTAACTCAACTCTCCCCGAATAATACACACACAATATCTGAACATGAGTGCATATGAGCGCATGTGTATATCTGAGGGCTATACAGCAAGCAGCACAGTGCCAGACAAGAGAAACCTCCCTTTGAGTTGTTGGTCAGGGTTGTCTAAGAGACTCCCAGGTAATCCTTGATTACCTCCCAGAACTTGAAGGTAAGACCCTATTGCTGAAGACAGGACATACTTCAGACATAGGACTTGTCTGAAGCCTCCTCCCTGTAAACTAGTTCTCATAGTTCTAGAGTATACTATGCTAGGTGTTAAAATCAATCAATAGTCCAACCCAGCTGTAAAACCCAATAACCACAATGACGGGCACAGTAAATTTATCTCTATTGGTATGGTAGTAACATTTTTTTCTTTTGGTCTTTTTTTTTTTTTTTTTTTTTGAGACATTGTATCCCTGTAGCCCCAGCTTACCTGGAACTCACTATGTAGACCAGGGTGGCCTTACAGAGATCCACCTGCCTCTGCCTCCTGAGTGCTGGTACTAAAGGCATGTGCCATTTTATCTAGGGAGTAATCCACAGCTATTTAATTGAACTGAAAGCTCTCTCAGTGGGAGGGAACTCATGGGTAACACTGTAAATATAGCTAAATACACATGGTTGGAGACGTCATAAATCCTAGAAAAAAACCCTATTTCTGCCAAAAACCCCATTTTTGTCTCTAGACAAATGAAAATTCTTACTGTATGCTAAATGTGGATCCTTATATTTACAGACAAGTATGTTGCACACCACTCATCAAATAAACTTCTTTTTGCAGCAGGTAGAGGCTCTTACAGAGTTCCACAACTGGTCATACACAGAGCATATATGTCTGAGAGATGCACAGGCCTAAATGATACATCTACAGCAGAACCTCTACACCTAAGGCCCATGGAACATCATAGAAGAAGGGGCAGAGAGAATCCTAATGGATCCCTCAACTCTCACCAGCA